AACTCGCGGCACGGCACGGCGCGGCGGTGTGTGCAGGCGACCGCGGGAGAAGGCGGCGAGCCGGGGTCGGGGGTGGTGCGTCGCGAGGCAAAATTTCGTGTTTTGATCTTTTTTCATAAGAGCAATTTCAACGGACCAATCCAGACCGATGGCGTTTTTATCCTTTTTTGTCCGTATGGATTGACCGAACGCCCGCCGTTTGCTCTTTTTAGTTTTGAGTCGGCAGTGCGCCGAACGGGCCAACCCATTTCATGACCGCCCGCATTTAACATTATGTCGTCGCCCTGGTTTTGGCGCTCCAACATGCGGGAAAGGTTCGCGCGTGGGGGGAAGCGTCCTAGCGCGCGCTGGTTTTGGCGCTCCAGCGCGCAGGAAAGGTTCGCGCGCGCCGCGGCCGGTGCTCCCTCCACACTCTGTCGGCCGCCCACTCTCGCCGCCTCTGCGCCACCATGTCGATCCGCCGCCTGGGCGTTTCGGATTCTCGCGAAGTCCGCGAGCGCCGCTCCGGCGCCTTCTCCGTCGAGATCTCGTTTCGCGAGAAACGTCTCGTCCTCGGCACCTTCGACACCGCAGAGGAGGCGGTCCGCGCGCACGACGCGACGGCGTGGCGCCTCCGGAGGCCTCGTCGGGATATGAATTTTCCCGACGTGTCGAGCCAGCGGGCGCTGAGGATCTGGCACCTCTCCCGCGGCTTTTCACCGACGAGGATCGTCGTATCCACCGGAGGCGGCAGCGTCGCCTCGCCATCGTAGAGAAGGATGTGGAAGCCTTGGTGGTATGGCGCGGAGGCTTCCCGCAGGACATCGTCGACGAGCGCCAGTTCTACAAGCAATTGAGATTGAAGAGGGGCGCGAGGAGGAGGGAGCGAGCCGCCTATCGGGAGGACAAGCGTTCGCGGAAGCAGGCAGCTCAATTGAAACTGAAGCTACGAGAAACGGCGGGTTGGGACTTTGAAGACGAGGCGTATGCTGATGCCTACATTCAGACATCGGAGGAGGACATTACCGAGTCGGAGTCAGAAAATCGACGAGTAGTGGTCTTTTCTTTTTATCTGTGTACGCTAGAATTATCCATGTATCCATTTTTATCTGAAAAAATGGCCGGCGACGTCGGCGACGTAGCTGGCCGGCGAGGGTATGAATCAAATGTGCCACCGCCCAGCGGGCCCGGTGAGGAACCGACCAGCGGGCCCGGTGAGGAAAGAGGCGAACGCGCATGCATCCGTCTTGTGTCCGCGCCGACGCAAATCGGGTTCAAAATGGGCCGGGAATGGATCGGCAGGCGGACGAAAGCGGACACGCGTCCGTTTGGGTCGGCGCGTTGGGCCGGCTTTTTTGTCCGCGCCGACCCAAACGGACGGCCGTGTACGAAATGGGTCGCCCCATTGGAGTTGCTCTAAGGTCATCGAGATCTGACCTCAATTTACAAAAAAATTGAGATCTGACCATTTTGCTACTGCCAGGGTTCATGACGATAAGGTGTAACAGACTGCCGGTAGCTTGTATAACCTTACCGTCAAGATGTCCGGCGATAGGTATAAGTATGCACCGTGTTTCATATTTTTAAAAAAATTTTATAGAGGATGCAACCCTACTGCCAAGTAGACTGTTACACCCTACCGTTGTGAACCTTAATGATAAAAAAAAAAGTCTGATCTCGAAGTTTTTGTAAACTGAGGTCAGATCTCGATGAACTTGCAGAAAAGGGTCAAAACCATGAAATTTTGCCCGTCGCGGGATCGCCTATCACGAATCGCCGGCACGGGTAACACGAGGGGACAGGCGGCACGTTCCGCATGCTCCACCACACGCCGCACGAATGGCTGCATGCGCGACTCGCGTACTCCTATTCTACGTTCATGATGCACTGTACACATAAACTCATCTCGACTTTCTGACATTTGTTCACCATGATACTGCTATTTTCAGATAAACAATTTGCCACGCTGCATGATGCCTGTGGTCGACGCAGTGGCTCGGGGCCAAAGATATTCGAAGGCAGACCAACCTCTCGACCCTTCTCGTGTCTACAGTACAAAGGAGCCGAATCAGCGACGACTCCGGCGTGCTCGTTCTTCCGCCGGCCCTCCTGAGCGTTTCCCTCGCCCCCAGCGGCCCCCAGGGCGGCTGGAGGTTAGGGGAACCTTGGATCTGGGCGCGGCATGTATATAGGTGCGGGGCGTCGTCCCCAGGTTCGGTTTTCGGCGCCGATGTATTGACGGAGCAATCGTCAGTGCGCCATCGAAATAATGTCCCCCAGCTCTGGCTCCGGCTCGTCGGCGTTGTGGCAGATGCTGGCGAGGGGCTTGTGGGGTCCTGCCTTTTGGCGCGATGGTGGTCTGGCTCGTCGGCCTTCTCCAGCGGTGCCGGCTCTTCGCGCAAGGACAAGGGCGGCTTAGTCTGTCAAGGCTGGTGGCTTGTGGGAGGGGGATCCGGTCATCTCTTTCGAGCTGATTTGGCATCGTCCCCGGATCCGGTGCAGGAGCAGCTTGGGGAGCGTCCCCGGCATGGGGATCGCCTCCGGCCGATGTCTGATTTGGTTTTAGATCCGATTTGCTGGAATCGGTGGATGATGCGGTTCATCAACGCCTATGTGGCAAGGAGCTTCTCCTGCTCCAGGTTTGCTCAAGATTTGGCGTCTGCTTCAGTGATTCATTGTCAACAGGGATTTGGGGCGCGGAGCATGCAATTCCGAGGAAGGTCTCCATGGACTATTTTCCCTATGTATGGGGCTTTGTTTTCTGGCTGCGACAACACCGCCTGTATCCTTTGTGTCTTTCTGTATCTGTATTCGTACGTGTATTCGCATGGCTGTGCTGTTTTCCTACTCGTATGAATACAAGTAACGTATGCCTTCGGGTGTACGATTTCAAAAAAAAAAGATATTCGAAGGCACGATGAACACGACGCATGGAAGCCCATGCCCTGCATCCGTGGGACCGTAGATAAATGCCTACTGTCATTTATTGTCCACACTGATGAGCAAAAGACGTACTGGCGGCTACTGCTTCCTGTCTCATAATATAAGAGCGTTGCGTGTTCTAAACATTAAAAAAATTATTATGAAAAACAAGTGTTTCACTCCCCTTTCTAATCACTGAAATTCAAACTGTCCGCTAGCTACTCGTTTGTTTGGATTATAGCCTTTCCTTAGGAATTTACTATCCAAATTGAATCTATTCATTTGGTCAGGCAACAAGAGTGATAAACTTGTGGCGTAATCTTGTTGAAAGCTTTGTCTTCTTGCTATTGAGCTGGTCTTCATTGTCTGATCTCGGCAAGCAGGATGGATATTCTTCTCCATGTTGTTTCTGATCGGATCTGGTGACGATGTTGCAACGACAATATTCCTTCTTGAAGGTGTAGCTATGAAAAATAGTCAACATAGTCATATGTGTTAATTTCATATCTTATTATGATTTGGTCGTGGTTGCTTTTATTATGCATCATGCTTGATAAAAAATAATTAAGAATAGTTTTATGCGCCACGTTGATGCGAAGGCTCGGGTTTCAACCTCTTTTTGAAAACAATGATCAAGCATTACAGTAATTGTTATTTCTTGGATAAAAGACATTTCAATTAATTGATATTTTTAGGTGAATCTGGTGATACAGCCATATTGAAAGAATTTTTATCGGTCCATGCCGCACACCGCCGCCACGTCAGAGACGGACAAAAAGAAAAGATAGCTTTACAATAATTTTGATAGGGACAATTCCATTCTTGCCCCTAGTTGGTTCCCACCCCCGGGTTTTGCCCTTACTTTTCGGGCATGCTCAGTTTTGCCCTTAGTTTTTCCCCTCCGTCAGCTCGAATGCCCTTCTGTCACAGCTCCGCTTGGTCAGCACCGTTTGACCGTGACGGCTCGACGTTTTGGACACATTTGCCCCTGGGTTTGATACCCCCCGCCTGTTTAGTCGTCTTCTAGCTCCCGCTTCACAAGAAAACAGAGAAGCGGCTGGGAAGAGAGGTGTGACATCGTGGTGTGGGGAGAGGTGGGAAGGACCATGTCGACGTCGGCCATCTCGTCGGAGAACTCGCCGCCGGCAGCCGAACAGGTTTGATAGCTCATCTGGTCCCCTGCTTTTCTAGGGTTTGCTAGATTTGGGGGTTAATTTCTGGATCTTGGCCTGATTTAGGTGGATGGGGTAGGCATTGTTCAGCACAGCTCCGAGTTCTACTTGGCGGACTCGACATACTGTGGCTTGGAGCCGCGCTCGAAGCATCGTTGCCCGAGGCACCAGCTAATCCCGGCTTGTCGTGTCGCCTGGGGAGGCGCAAGCACTGGACGTCGTTTTTTGGGTTGCCCTCTGGATGTATGATTTCATTTGCACTGCATTTTCGTTTCCATTTTCTTATTTAACTTTCAAGGAGAATTTTAATCAAATTTATTGATTCAGTTGCCAGATGAATGTGAATGGGCAGTTTGGGTTGACCCACCACCTCCAGAACGTGTTGGTCTTGCCTTTGAAGAACTGCACGAAGTGATCGAACATAGCTGGATCAGAAGTCACCACCTGGAGAAGAGATCAATTCATCTTGCGAAGAAGAATCGTGCATTGAACAAGGAGTTGAAGAAAATGAAAGAAATTATGTGCATAGGGACAATGTTGTTTGCTAGCATTTTCATTTGTTTTCTAGCAATCTCAATGGCTGTCTGTGCACAGAATGCACATTAGTTTATGATCTATGTAGCTCAAATGCACTTGTTATGTTATGAAGCTGTAATGAACATATGAAGTTGTATGAACCTAGCAGTTGTTATGTTATGTTATGAAGCTTTATGGACGCAACAATTTGCCAAATGCATGTATTGTGAAAAGAAAGATCAAACAGAACATAATTCACAACCAATCTTGCTGCAACTAGACATAGTTCACAAGTAGCATTTGATATTCTTCAACAACCAAAAGAACATAGTTCACAACCAATCTTGTTGCAACCAAAAGAACACATTACAACAAATCTAACAGTTTCAAACTTGCACAGCACATTAGTACTTATTTTCCATATTTTGCCTTCTTGCTCCTTGTGTTGCTAGCTGGGATTGTCATCTCCCTAGCCCTGCTCCTAGTCAGTTTCACAGGGATTTGGGGAACAACTGGAGGGAGAACTTGCTCTTCACATGCAGCAACTCTTGCATCTACATTGCTGCCAGTAACTGAGCAAGGTTCTTCTTCTGGACTTGTAGAAGTGTTAAGCTTCCTCTTCTTGCTGATAGCCATTGGAGATGCTCCTCTCTCTGCTGCCTTCTTATAGTTCTTCCTTGGTGTGCTAACAAATAGGGAAGAAATAGTTGGTTAGTAACAGTACAAGAGATATTTGCAGGTAAAAGCACATAAATAAGGCACATAAATAAATCAAAGAGGAATATTACCTTTGAACTGTGGAAGCTTGTGTTGCTGTCTCATTTGTTTCACTGTGGGGCTCTACTGGAGCATCCTGTGCACCTGCAGGCTGCACTGGAGCATCATCTGCACCTGCAGGCTGCACTGGAGCATCATCTGCACCTGCAGGCTGCACTGGGGCTTCATCTTCACCTGCAGGCTGCACTGGAGCTTCATCTTCACCTGCAGGCTGCACTGGAGCTTCATCTTCACTGTATGGCTCCTCTTCTTCTTGTTGTTTATCATTTAGGTTTGCATTTTGGTTAGGAGGGTCTTCTTCAGCATTGTCAGCTCCCCAGTGTGCATCTTCTTCACCAAATGCTGGATCAATGGCTTTTTTGCAGGTTTTCAGTAAGTGACCCAAGCCACCACACCTCTTGCATTTTCTCTTCCTAGGACCAAGTCCTTTTCCTTCACTTGCTGGCTTAATTCCTGTCTTCCTTGGCCTGCCAGGTGCAGCTTTGTTCTGTACAGGTGGACTTAGTTTGAAACCAGGGTCTACAATATCCCACTGTTGTTTTCCTTCAAGTGCAGGCAGGTTCTCAGCATATGTTTTTTTAAACATTTCAACTGAGAAGTACTTGTGCACATACTGGTCTATTTCTTTAGCTTCCCCTCTTAATGATGTTATGAAGAATAGACCATGTATGCATGGCTGGCCTGCAACTTGCCACTTTCTGCAACTGCATGTTCTTTTCTCTACATCCACAGGGTATCTCCACTCCCTCTTCTCCTTGTCTATGGCAGTCACCTCTGCTTCAGTTGGACTTCTCCTAACTAAAGTCATGTCCAAGCCTTTGGATTTTGCCATCAAAATCTTCATAACTCTGGGAATTATGATATGCCCATTGAATTTTTGTAGTTCTATGCTATTCCTAAGGCCAAATTTTTGCATTAAGTACTGCCTGATCTTATCCAACAAGTCCACAATGTGGAGACCCTTGAACTTTTTAATTTTGGAATTGAATGATTCTGCAAGGTTGTTATTGACATAGTCAACCTTGCAGATATCATTGAATTGTGCCCTGGCCCAGATTTTTGTGTGGTGCTCTTCCAGATAAGCCTGCACCTTGGGTTTTGTGCACAACTGTCTCAGGTGATAGTTGTGCTTCTTAATGCTATAAGTCAATGAACAAGGCCACAAATGCTGGTCATAGAACTTCCCCCTGAATTTCTTAGAAAAATTCTGAGCCAGATGTCTCATGCACTCTCTGTGCTCTACCCCAGGGTAAATTTCATCTACAGCTGTCTCAAGACCCTTGCATGCATCAGTATGAATTACTAGTCCTTCAGGATGACCTATCACCTTCTTTAAATTTTGGAAAAACCAACCCCAACTCTCTTTAGACTCAGTCTCCAAAACACCATATGCAACTGGAAAAATCCAGTTATGTGCATCAATTGCACATGCAGCAACCAACTGACCTCTGAACCTACCATTTAGTGCAGTAGCATCAACAGCAAGGTAGGGCCTACTGTTGGGTTTCGTAGTAATTTCAAAAAATTTCCTACGCACACGCAAGATCATGTGATGCATAGCAACGAGGGGAGAGTATTGTCTATGTACCCAACGCAGACCGACTGCGGAAGCGATGACACGACGTAGAGGAAGTAGTCGTACGTCTTCTCGATCCAACCGATCAAGCACCGAAACTACGGCACCTCCGAGTTCGAGCACACGTTCAGCTCGATGACGATCCCCGGACTCCGATCCAGCAAAGTGTCGGGGAAGAGTTTCGTCAGCACGACGGCGTGGTGACGATCTTGATGAACTACAGCAGTAGGGCTTCGCCTAAACTCCGCTACAGTATTATCGAGGAATATGGTGGCAGGGGGCACCGCACACGGCTAAGGAATAGATCACGTGGATCAACTTGTGTCAACTTGTGTGTCTTTGGGGTGCCTCTACCTCAGTATATAAAGGAGCCAAGGGGGGGAGGGGGCGCCGGCCAAGAGAGAGAGGCGCAGGAGGAGTCCTACTCCTACCGGGAGTAGGACTCCCCCCCCAATCCTATTCCAACTAGGATTCCCAAGGGGGAAAGAGGGAGAGGGGTGGCCGGCCACCTCTCCTAGTCCTAATAGGACTAGGGGAAGGGGGGAGGCGCGCAGCCCCCTTGGGCTGCCCCTTTCTCCTTTCCACTAAGGCCCATGAAGGCCCATATGGCTCCCGGGGGGTTCCGGTAACCTCCCGGTAACCCGGTAAAATCCCGATTTCACCCGGAACACTTCCGATGTCCAAACATAGGCTTCCAATATATCAATCTTTATGTCTCGACCATTTCGAGACTCCTTGTCATGTCCGTGATCACATCCGGGACTCCGAACAACCTTCGGTACATCAAAATGCATAAACTCATAATATAACTGTCATCGTAACCTTAAGCGTGCGGACCATACGGGTTCGAGAACAATGTAGACATGACCGAGACACGTCTCCGGTCAATAACCAATAGCGGGACCTGGATGCCCATATTGGCTCCTACATATTCTACGAAGATCTTTATCGGTCAGACCGCATAACAACATACGTTGTTCCCTTTGTCATCGGTATGTTACTTGCCCGAGATTCGATCGTCGGTATCCAATACCTAGTTCAATCTCGTTACCGGCAAGTCTCTTTACTCGTTCCGTAATACATCATCTCACAACTAACATATTAGTTGTAATGCTTGCAAGGCTTATGTGATGTGTATTACCGAGAGGGCCCAGAGATACCTCTCCGACAATCGGAGTGACAAATCCTAATCTCGAAATACGCCAACTCAACATCGACCATTGGAGACACCTGTAGTACTCCTTTATAATCACCCAGTTACGTTGTGACATTTGGTAGTACCCAAAGTGTTCCTCCGGCAAACGGGAGTTGCATAATCTCATAGTCATAGGAACATGTATAAGTCATGAAGAAAGCAATAGCAACATACTAAACGATCGTGTGCTAAGCTAATGGAATGGGTCATGTCAATCAGATCATTCAACTAATGATGTGACCTCGTTAATCAAATAACAACTCATTGTTCATGGTTAGGAAACATAACCATCTTTGATTAATGAGCTAGTCAATTAGAGGCATACTAGTGACACTTTGTTTGTCTATGTATTCACACATGTATTATGTTTCCGGTCAATACAATTCTAGCATGAATAATAAACATTTATCATGAAATAAGGAAATAAATAATAACTTTATTATTGCCTCTAGGGCATATTTCCTTCATGTGGGTGAGTGGAGGGATGGCCTGGCCAGCGGTGGGAGTAGTATGGGGGGCGGTGAGGCCTCCGCGGCAGCACAACCAGCCACGGGAGGCAGGAGCAGGCGGCACGACCGGCGCTGCTTTGGGCGGGTGGACCAAGAAGACCAGAGATTGAAGAAGCACTACGGCCGTTGGATGGACATCGTACAGTCACTGAAGCTAGAAACGTTTATTATTGACTAAGTTGACAAAGCCCTTGGTACGCTCCAACTTAGTAGGCCCACAGGTCAGCCTCCGAAACGGTGTGCCCCAGTTGTCAGGGGGAGGAATCATTTTTTAGGTGGCCGAAGCTAAGAATATCCGAGATTGAAGAAGAAGCATGACATCCGTTGGATAGACATCCAACGGCCACTGCTGCTAGAACCATGTGTTGACTATAATAAGTTGGCAAAGCCTTGCATACGCGTCAACTTATTTTTTAGGGGACGCGTCACTTAGTAGGCCCACAAGTGTGTGGCAGAGAACTTATAGCCCATTTACGTTTTGTAAGAATGTACAACCCATTTTGGAATTCTAATGGAATTTACAACAGCCCATTTACAGTTTCTTAAAAGTACAGCCCATTTTCTAGCTAGGACAATGATTAATAATTTCAACCAACCATTGAAGACAGAATTCAATAAAATTTCCCACATTTTGATGGGCTTCGAAATATTTTTATCCCGAAATTTTTAGTCAGATTAAATATAAATTTGTATTACGTAAAAATCTAACGAAACATTGCACGCGCAATAATGAAAATTTAAGATTTTCAAAATCCATAAATAATATTTTATAAACTAATTTCGTTTTTGGTGCATTTTTTATAGTTACTGCCCAGTTTTTATAATTACATCCCATTTATTATTTTTTTAAAGCCCATTTTCCTGTTAAGCCTAATGCATCCCTCCTAGGAAAGATTTGCAGCCCAACGGGGCGGAGAATAACAAGTTGACCTTGCGTGGGTATTCCTCAAAAAGACGTATAGATGGGCTAGCCATTTTCATCTTGAAGAAATTAGTATCTGGGCTAGACCGGCAAGTCTCTTTACTCGTTCCGTAATACATCATCTCACAACTAACATATTAGTTGTAATGCTTGCAAGGCTTATGTGATGTGTATTACCGAGAGGGCCCAGAGATACCTCTCCGACAATCGGAGTGACAAATCCTAATCTCGAAATACGCCAACTCAACATCGACCATTGGAGACACCTGTAGTACTCCTTTATAATCACCCAGTTACGTTGTGACGTTTGGTAGTACCCAAAGTGTTCCTCCGGCAAACGGGAGTTGCATAATCTCATAGTCATAGGAACATGTATAAGTCATGAAGAAAGCAATAGCAACATACTAAACGATCGTGTGCTAAGCTAATGGAATGGGTCATGTCAATCAGATCATTCAACTAATGATGTGACCTCGTTAATCAAATAACAACTCATTGTTCATGGTTAGGAAACATAACCATCTTTGATTAACGAGCTAGTCAAGTAGAGGCATACTAGTGACACTTTGTTTGTCTATGTATTCACACATGTATTATGTTTCCGGTCAATACAATTCTAGCATGAATAATAAACATTTATCATGAAATAAGGAAATAAATAATAACTCATTGAAAACTTATCAAGTGTCTTGTCAAGGTATGTACTCATTGTAACACAGGCAAGAAACCTTTTTCTTTGACTGTTCCATTTTGAACTACTTCAAAATCTTGTCAAGGTATGTACTCATTGAAAACTTATCAAGTGTCTTGATCTATCTCTATAGATCTTGATACTTAATATGTAAGCAGCTTCACCGAGGTCTTTCTTTGAAAAACTCCTTTCAAACACTCCTTTATGCTTTGCAGAATAATTCTACATTATTTCCGATCAACAATATGTCATTCACATATACTTATCAGAAATGTTGTAGTGCTCCCACTCACTTTCTTGTAAATACAGGCTTCACCGCAAGTCTGTATAAAACCATATGCTTTGATCAACTCATCAAAGCGTATATTCCAACTCCGAGATGCTTGCACCAGTCCACAGATGGATCGCTGGAGCTTGCATATTTTGTTAGCACCTTTAGGATTGACAAAACCTTCTGGTTGTATCATATACAACTCTTCTTTAATAAATCCATTAAGGAATGCAGTTTTGTTTATCCATTTGCCGGATTTCATAAAATGCGGCAATTGCTAACATGATTCCGACAGACTTAAGCATAGATACGAGTGAGAAACTCTCATCGTAGTCAACACCTTGAACTTGCCGAAAACCTTTTTGTGACAAGTCGAGCTTTGTAGACAGTAACATTACCATCAGCGTCAGTCTTCTTCTTAA